TATGATATTTCTGCTATTTCTACCTTGTATTTTTATATCTATATATCGACCACACTTGCTAGAATGTTCTGCTGAGCGTATAAATGCACGCTGATATAAATAAATAAATAATGAACTAGAGAAAATGTACTTGCAGGTGACTCTCCCTAACCCAAACCCCTTTAGAATGACAGTATTCTTCCAACACCTACCCTAAACATGATTTTTCTTCTTCTGCAAACTCGCATATCAGCGGACACAATTTATGCTCGCTTTCCCAGCACTAAAATCACACAAGCCGAACAGAATTGTCACATCATTCGACGATCGTAACAAACCGGCCGGCCAACACACAAGGTGTTTCAGATTTGATTTACGTTCGCTCATCTTGTCCCAATCCAACACCAAAGTACCGGATATCTTCGTCTTTCTAATTATTCTTCCCATTCCACTCCCTTCGTCCCAATTGCCGAAGTGACGCCATCTTGATTACTGGCGCAAGCAATTGATTGATCTTGGCAGAAACTCAAAGTTTGGCGCATAGATGGACTTGAGAAACCCGAGTCTGGAGGGTCACAACGAAGAAAAATAGACCGAAAGCAAAAATAACATAAAAAAAACTAATGTAAAATCTTACAAAGCAAAATCCATTTATGTCCTATGTTGTTCTCAGATCACAGAATCATTTCTCTTTTTCTTTTTTCAATTTCTATCTGAAGTCTAATCCTTTTATGTTTACCTTGGAGTTTCTTTGCTTCTATTCTTCGGCATGTTTTTCGGCACTGTGGCACCTTGTAAAGATACGTTTTTTCTGCAGATTTTTGTTATCTCTAAATATTTTTGTGCTGTTATTTTTACGTTTTTTTTTTATATTTCCGTCTAATATTTATTTTATTTAGACACTGAAAAATACATTGATGTCCAGTAAAGGAAAATAGATATTAGACGTGTCCAATGGACACACCTTGTCTTCCCTACAATAGACGCGGCACCCGTTACAACGTTATATTTTTCTATCTTTCTGTCTTTTTCTTTTTCGTCCCTTCCCTTACTTCGACCTTTCTTTCTTTCTTTCTTTCTTTCTTTCTTTCTTTCTTTCTTTCTTTCTCCTGTATCAGTTGCTTTTTACATGCAGTTTTACAAACTGACCATCAGTAGCCTTAACCAAAATTTGCACGATAATTTTTTCTTACTCAACTTTATATGTCGACCAAAAATTAATCCATGAATATATATATATATGTGTGTGTGTGTGTGTGTGTGTGTGTATATTGTTATTCAATTTTGTTACACACACACACACACACACACACACACACACACACACACACACATATATATATATATATATATAAGGGATATTTTTATGACGCGCCTATGTGTCGGGAGGATTGAGTTTTATTATTGTCTATCTGATTATCTATTTATTTGTTTATTCAAGTGGATGTTTTATATACAAACCGTATTGCACTGAATTTCAATTTGTTTTTTGACGACTACAGATTTGGCTGAGCTTTTAAGACTTTTATTAAACTATGGGATTTTTTTTAATGCTAATTATTTAATGCGAAAATTTGTTGATGCCTATGGTTTAATAATTTTTCATTATTTAGAAAGTTACTCCCGACACATAACGACTTGTAGGTGCGCCATAAAAATATCCCTCACTGGGAACTAACTAGAGGATGACCGCCAACATTAGCCTTGAAATAAATACCCTACCCAACCTTAGCAAAACCTCTCAGAAGATGATGAATATAGATAAGAATTAACTCTCTGACCAATTAACGAAGAAAACTAGCATAGCCACTCCCACAATAATGAATGTTATAACGGACCATGCCTAAAAACACACGTAAACCGAGAGATAGCTTATTCCTAAAATTTCGCTTGAAGATGAAACGGGACTAAACACCTCAATTCAACTTTAATAATTATTTGGATGGTTTCGGCTCTCGTTTTTGAAACATGAGAACTCTTATGTAGCGAAGGAATCATATTTTTAAACAAAAATATTATAATATATATATATATATATATATATATATATATATATATATGTGTGTGTGTGAGTGTATATATATAAAGACATTGAAAAATGTCTGATAAATAGTTCGATATGTTGTGTTTGTTTATTTTAAACAATATCCTTTCATAATCACGTATAAGCTTTGTTGTTTCATCATTAAAGAGAGAAGGAAGGTACTATGGTCGTATATATTCATTTTTATTTTCCCGAGTGCCGTCAATTTAAATGTCCCTTGGATGACTGCATTTCCGAGAAAAAAGATAAGGTATATGTTGGTTTTTCTATAATAACGTTATCAAGACGGCTCACTCTACACATGAATGATTCATCGTCCATTGCACAACATCTTCAAAAACATTCCTGTCCACATTCACAATTTAGAAGCAGATTAGTTAACAATAACTGTATACTTCACAAAGAACGTAATAAGTAAAAATAACAAATTCTTGAAATTATCTTTATTAAAAATTAAAAAAGAACACTTAACAAAATTAATACTGAACATAGTACAAATGTTCTGAAATGCTTATAGCTCTTTAGAAATATATATGGTAAAACTAAACAGTTTTTAAAATCAAGCAAACTATTACCTCCTAAGAAGAATTCAATTTTTAACTAAGTTACCTCCCTTACATTAAAATTTTGACAAAACAAAAATAATTTAAAATCATCGTTTGTGACTTTGCGCACGATCGGAAATGTTAAAGGTTTAACCAGAAAAGCAAATATTTTCTTCTGATTAACACATTTATTTATGTTAATCATCATAATTCTGAAGATGATAATAGAATATATCGAAAGTAGTCGTAAAAATAAAATTGTATAAATACAAAAATGGTATATTCCTTGCTCTCTTTAATCATGAAACAACAAAGCTTATACAATATTCTGCCAAAACATACGGAATATATATATATATATATTAAATAAAAACAGACCACTTTAAGGTTCCATGTAATAAATTATTTCACCACAGCCCTTTTAAAAGGACGGCGGATCATCAGACTTTACTTCCAAACCAAAAAAATGAAAAGAAAATTTACACATTTTTGACGGGCCGTAAATTAACGAAGTGAGGAAGTGAGGGGAGAGAGAGAGAAGACATGAGATATTGACACATTTAAACGGTTAACTTAACGGAAGTTATATATTGATATCGAAGGGGTAGAAGGAAAAAAACCCAGAGAAAAAAAGAAGGAAGTTAAGAGAGAAGAGAAGAGAAGATGTCACTAATTTTCTTTGTAAAAAAAGTTAGAAACAGATACTGTTATTTTGCTTTACTTTGAAAGTGTTATTTTAGGGGTTCATAAAGATTAATGTTTGATATAAATTTGAATGTCTCTAGACTTTCTACAAATAATTTAATTTGATGTTAGTGATTTCAATTTTTTTAAATTTTGGGGATTTTCTATGAAATAGTCGATTAGAAGAATATTCATAGAAAGTACAAAATTTTATTTTAAAATATAAGTTTACTTCTTTTATAAACCTATAAAAAAAAACAATTGATTATTAAGTTGACATCTCTATCCGTTTGAATTTTGTTCATGAATTTATCTCGTGGCTGTTTATAGATAGGTAATCTCTTTTACTTAATCCGCAGTCCTTTTAAAAGAGCTGTGGTGAAATAATTTAAGTGGTCTGTTTTTATTTAAATTATTTGCTCTGGATTTACATTGAGCTCTCTGGATTTTATCCTCCTTAGGTTTATCCGTACGGATTACCTAGTTTTTCATAAATTATATATATATATATATATATATATATATATGTGTGTGTGTGTGTGTGTGTGTATTTGTGTGTTGGTTTCGTTGGTACAAACACACACGCATACACACAAATATATATATATATAAAACCAATCTTCATAATAGGCATATATACACACGTTATATATATATATATATATATATATATATATGTAGCGGCCCGGTCTATTCTTGAGATAATGGGACGCACTGGGATAGAATCTTTGCGGGTTTTAGTTTGGATATTCTAGGGTGATATTCTATACGGACTCTCGAAAACGCACAAACTGCTATACCCAAAACTGGTATCCCAATCCATTATCTCAGGAAAACATATATATATCCATATTTATAAATAACAAAAATTTATATAAATATATATCTTTTTTTTATTCATATATATATATATATATATATATATATATATATATATATATATATATATATGTGTATGTGTGTGTGTTTGTACCAACAAAATACACACACACACACACACACATATATATATATATATATATATATATATGAAGTGAAATATATAAGAGGTATATTTATATAAAAAATATTATAATTTTTGTAATGGCGGTCGCCATATATATATTTTTTTTTAAATATAGTATATATATATATATATGTGTGTGTAATGGGATACCAAAATATATATATATATATATATATATATATGTTTGTTCAAGAGTCCGTATAGAATATCAATAGAATATCCAAACTAAAATATATATATATATATATATATATATCCCATTATCTCAAGAATATATATATAATAAATATATATATATAACGTGTGTATATATGCCTATTATGAAGATTGGTTTTAAGAAAAGATGAGGAATTGATGAAAATAAGTACAATGGCTTGGTAAATTTATCTGGTGTTTCGAGATTAAATGTTTTAATTATTCTATACCTTGAATCTCAGAACTTTACAGAAAGAAACTGATTTTGGATTGGCCAAAAAGTTCGTAATATTGGGTTGGTGCATAATTATCAGGCGTTTTTGTAGGTGAGTTATTTGTTAATAAAAATTGCTCTTTTGTTTACTTCTTTTTAATGAAAATATTTTATTTTCAGAATATACATATGCGTGTCGATAATTATACGCTTTTGAATAATCATTAAAAATGTTATTGTTGAATTAATATGATTCATTTTTCATAATAAATATTGTCTAAAAAACGCTTGTTAATTATACCCCAACACAATATGCTACATGTCATTAGAAGCATTTAGTTTTAATTCTCACGTTATCGCATATGTCTAAATTTAAGATCAGAAGTAAAATTAAAACGTGTTTAACTGATATTTAATAACCGAGTATCCACCATTATCAGTAACCGACTTTCAACATTTCACAAGATTCATTCAACCGTTTTGCAAAAGTAAAAGTAAAGAGGAATATTTCCATCGTTCCAGTTATTTTAAGAACATCGTTAGATCGAATGTCATACATGGCGCCAAACCCTGCCAGAAATATCTAAACTTGCCAGCTATATAAAAATTCAAAATGGTTTCCAGCGAATGAAGCCTGTAGGTCTTATAGATGACCATCTTTAATGTTTTAGCACCGTTTCATGATGTTGCATATGGCGGTAAACCGTTGAATGATCTGAAGTCACTTTTTGAGCTAATCCTTTAACAGTAACAGCTTTATGGCCCCCCAAGTTGAGAGAAAAACAAGCGTTTGTTAAACTCAACACAATGTTCTATTCACAGCGCATCTAATTTGAAATCATCTTTTCGAAATTTTTTAACCCATCTTCAGCAATGTCTTTTTTCTTTTTCTTTTTTAAAGAAAGAATTTATCTGGTAAGCATCATTAATAGATCATGTTGCATCTTCAGTATTGCTTTTTCTAAAGGTTTGATCGGTCTTGAGTGCTCATCACATTTAAACTTGTACTATACTATGATAATCTTTCAATTTCTAGCACGAGAAGTTATGCTTATTTACATTCGGATTAATACCCTTACCTTTGTTCTTATTATAACGTATCTGAAGTTTTGCTCTCTGAACTTCCTCAGGTGGCTCATCTCAGAAATCCAAATAGAAATTTTCGAATTATTGCTGCGACAATGTGTTATACCTATAAAGGTATTCGGGAGAGCTCTATCAGAAATTATCACGGATCTCAAACCATCTGACATCCCTATACAAATTGTATTAAATATTTAACTAATTGCTAATATATTTGTCCAGTTTGTTTACAAAATGTTTATAATAATCAAATACACGAATACCATGCTTATGTAAGATTGCTACGTATATTGCAGTTGTGTTGTTATTGTGATGCGGCACATTTTGTTAAAATGTGGTACAGACTAATTTGATTATGCTAACTTTAATTTCTTCAGTAAGAAACTCGAAATAAATGTCTTGTATGTCCGTATTTACTGGCTTGATGCAAAACTTCTCAGCAGCAATTTTAGCACTATTAGAAACAAATTTTAAAAGTATTTTTTAACGTTGTTTTATTGCTTGTACAATCCTGAGAATTTTATGAAAATTAAAAAGTTCGGATGAGTTTTACCTGAATCTAGAGAAAATCATAACCATGACATTTTTTTTAATCAAGCAATGCGGGAGTGCCACTAGCACGCAAGGGATTACAAAGATTAAAGTGACGTGATTGAGGAAAGGATAAAGAAGTCGAGGAATTAGATCAACGCATCAGAAGATGTCGATTGACATTACTTTTGAATATATGAAATCTATAACTATCAGGGAAGCAAGTAAGAGGAAGGGAGTTCAACAGACAGGAAGTGCGAGACATGAAGCTATTAGAGTAAAACAGATGGCTACATTTAATCGTTTCGACAGTGAAAGGGTGAGACTGAGATGCCAACCTAGTAACACGCTTAAATTCATGCAGTTTGGGAACTAGTGAAAATAGCTCGTCGGGGAAGTTACCGTGAAAGTATTTGTAGAAAAGACAGAGGGAAGCGACGGCACGTCTGTGTGAAAGTGACTGTAGACGAGATACCAGACCAAGACCGACCACATTGCATAACAGTCTCTGGATTTTGTCAAGGACCATTTATCGAACAGCGGGGCACCAGACCATATATGGCAGCAGTATTCCATGCAAGGGCGAATGGTTGATTTATAGATTTGAAGGATGGACTCAAGCGAGAAAAAACTTTCTGTCGCGACACAGAGAACCAACTTTCCTTGCAATAGATGAATCTATTGATTCAATGTAATTTGTTCCATATTAGGTCAGCGGACAGCGTTAGACCAAGCAGGCACAGAGAGGAGCTCTCGTGGAGTTGAGCATCAGACATTCTAATGGGAGGCAGAGAGGATTTTTTTTCTTGTTTTTTTGAGGTGGGGTAATGAGAGCGGTTTTGTTTTTGAGGCATTAAAGTTTACCAGCTATTTCCTCATATTTGGAAAATACAGTAGAATAATCTAGACCTTATCCGGGTAGTAAAAACGCCTGCATATGAATAGAAAATGTATTCAGTAAATATAAAAAATAGAAAGGGGTGTAAGCCAAAGAAAAGATAGGAAATTATGAAAAGACATGATCGTCAACGTTCTGAAGAGACACACACTAAGAAGTAAAAGAACATCAGGTATCGTTTTATCAGATAGTTTTCTCCTTGTTTGAGAGAAATAATTTCTAGATAAAATAATAATTAACAATTAAAAATAACTGCATTCTTTTATCTGTCTTTTCCTTTCAGTGCATACATAATCGTCTCTCTACATCTTCCTATCTCCTGTAGATCTAAGTAATTTTTAATATATCTCTTGGTCCCCGTCGTGTCATCTATGCTTACATTTAAGTAGTTTACTCGCTGTTTTCCCTTGTTAATTTCTCCAGAAACTCTTCTTTTATTACATGTCATAGAAATTTAATTGCCACTTTTTAATTGTAAGTGTAGAATAACAATACAATAAACAGCACTTACCGGCGTAAGGGTCCCAGCTAGCGTCCAGCTGGCAGACAAAAATAAAGCAGGTTGTAACTTAATACAAACCCTGCAAACTAACTGATGAATCAAGCTGGTATTTATATAGAAATACCTCCACTCAGGTACCAGCAGCCAATCACAGCCCAAGCAATGGACTATCCCACTTTAGCACAATGAGATGCTCCATGGCACCATAAATAGCTCTCTTTCTAAAGGTTGGATTATTATTCACTTGGCTTGCTCCACAACTGAGTGTTTATCTCGTCAAAGTGATTTTTCTACAGTAAGTTTCTGTTTAGTTCCAAATCTTCTATGTTTCATACATGCTCTGTTTATGGAGTTTTTAGCATTCATAGAACCACATCTCAAATCTGCTCCTCGTCTACGATGAGATTGTCCACCATTCTCTGACAGATAATACTTTAGATATTAAACAGCTTTTTAGCTATTAGGCATTCCTTGACCTAGAAGCCAGTGCTACTGGTAACATTTATAAAAGCTTCTAACAGGAAAATATGTTTCTTAAATCTAGTAGTTGTTATTACTCTTTCCAGTATTAGTGGGGTTTACTTCCACTCCTTTTATTTGAATTAGTGTAAACCTCACTATCTTGATTATGTTATTCTTTTCTTTTTCAGTTACATGCTGTATCCATTTTAGTCGTGTCTTCTGTTGAAAGTCTTTAAGTGATATGTTTTGTTTTTATCTGATATAGTTTTTATCTGTTGTCCACAATCAGAATGTTTTGAGATGTCAAACTAAATTACGTAATTATATTACAACATACTCCCCATAGATAAGCCACTATAAAGCTACTCTAACAAAACATTGCAACCATAATGTTTCGCACAGGATGTCAGTGTATCAAACTAAACTAAGCCTACTGTAATGCCGGATTTCTATCCCCATCATGTTGTTGGCTTTCTATTAAACTATGCTAAATTTAATATAGCGCTATGGTTGGTAAGCTTTTATTACAATTAACGAGTCGCCTGAGGTTGATCGTCACATGGTATCCTAAATTAAGCATAGTAAATATCTTAATACCGTATACCTCTTGTATATTTTACTCATGAATAAATATAATTTCACATATCAGGTCTTGTCCTGATGTCAATGATCACATGATAATCTAGTCCTGTAGCATTGTATTTATCTAAGTATACTATTATACTAAGTATACTATTACACATTGATTCATTTGAATGAGTTTCAACGTTTGTTTTATTTTAATTAGAATGAGTGAAATTTTAGTAAATAACTAACGGATTAGCCCTTTCAGTCGGGGCGTGTGTCACTCTACTTTCTGGAATGCAATGTTTAGAAATGACTTCGAGCGAATGATGCCAGTAGTTCTTAGCAAGGCATTATCGAAACTCATGGACTGGCGCTACCGATTCACAAACAAAGAATTGTACCAAATTATAGAAACCGCATCTTTTTTGGACTTTCAACAGCAGCAATAACTAAAATAGTTATCACATGCAACTTGAAGAGAAAACACCGATATAATGAAAATGGTAATGTTCTACACTACTTCGAACAAAAGGTAAGGAAGGAAGTCGCCATCAATATTGGACAGTGCAATAACAGTAACTGAACTTGAGAATCCTATTTTCCTGAAGAATTTTTTAAAGGGAAAGATTCTATAAATTACAATCGAAAGTTGCCCTGGCTGCTCGGTCAATGAATACTGAATATTTCTTTTATGAAGTAAGCGGCTAATATTACATTTACCATAGGTGTTACTCAAAAATCGAATCCGTGACAAATGAAACAAAGAAATATTTGTGGCCATGGCAATTTTGAGAAAGTTGTTTTCTGTTCGTGAATTCCAACAGAAATGTACGCAGTCTAATGTCTGTAACAAGTTCTGTACCATTTGATTGTCTGCAGCGCTGATGACTAAGATGACAGTTTCTTTGGTCTAATTTTAAACTTTGAGTCGATGCCAACCATAATTACAAGAGGGATACAGCCTTCGTGGTTCCATGAATGGTAAGAAAAAGAGAACAAGACCATATGCGCTCACGGACACCGTCACAAAAGAATCGAATCAAAACCAAGCCTAAGTCGATGCTAGAGTCTTGAGAAACGGTCGGCGCAGAATTTCTGTGGAATTCTTAGAAATTGCTGCTAACTGCAGTTAATCACCTTCACTTGGAAAATGACCACATTGAAGAGCCATTCCTTTCCCACCTGAACGTACTTGTGAGGTTTCTGTATAATCTCTGGACATCTGTCTGTTTCATGCGATTTTTTTTCAACTATCGCATTTATTTTTGGGCTTTTCATTTAGAGCTGTCGTTCGTTTCGTAATTCTTGTTCTTTTTTCTTTGTTTTGGCTTCCATTTATCTTACATCTTTTTATTTTTAGCCTATTTCGTTTATTTTCCATCTTCCTTGCCGGATTTGTCCTTTTGATATATTTTTCTTTCTTAAGTGTGCTTCCTTTCATTGGCCTCAAGCATTTCATTCGTTCGTCTTTTTGCTTTTTCCTTTCCTTCTCAATTTTCTTTATTTGCTTGCTTATTGCTTTCTGTTGATGCTTTCTTTCTTTATTTGTTTGCTTCTTGCTTGCATCTTTTCTTTCAGTGAACTCTTTCTTTCTTTCATTCTTTCTTCTGTTCATTTCTTTGTTAACTTCTTTCATTCCTTATTCCATTTCTTCAATCTTTCTATTTCTTTTTATTCTTATTTTCTTCCGTATAATTTTCTTTTTGAATTCTCTTTTCTTTCTTTTGCTTTTTTTCTATTTTCGTTCTATTTGGTTTCTGTTTTTTTCCTTCTTTCTTTTCTCTCATTCCTTCTTTCTTTCTGTTACTACTTTCTTCCCTTTTATTTTTATTTTGTTCTTTCTTTCTTTCTTTCTTTGAGTTTACTTCTTTTTTACACTTGTTTCATTCATTATTCTATTTTTTCTATTTTCTTTTTTTTCTTATGCTTTTTTCTTTCTTCTTTTCTTCTTTGCCGGTGTTTTTTGCATTCCTTTGTTTCTTTCGTCATTACTTTCTTTGTCTATCAGATTTCTTGCCTACACTTTCTTTCCTCCTTTCAAAACGTGTCAATATATCTATCGATTTTTCTTGTTTCATATTAATTCGAATTATTTTATCTTGATTTACTTCCATTGCTCTTCTCTCATCGTGTCAATCTTTTCTTCATTTGCTTCTATTTTATTGACACTAACTTTACTTTTTTTATTCTCTGTGGATTTCATTTTCTCCTTATTTCCTTTTTTTATTATTCTGTCTTCCTTGTCGTCACTTAATTTTTATTTTTCATTTTCTCTCGACGTCTTCTATTTGCAATCGAAAAGCTAATCATATTTTTTCTTTGTCTCATTGTTCTTCACAATATTATTCTCATTTTATCTATCTATCTATCTATCTATCTATCTATCTATCTATCTATCTCCACATTAAACTATACATGCTTTTCTATCTTATTTCGCATCCTTATCAAATATTTATTTCAAATTTCATCTCTCATTCTTTTTCTTTTCATGTTTTTTTTTTTAATTTTTGCCACATCATACGTTACCATCTCGTTGTTATTCCTTTCAATCTTTTCTCATTTTCTTTCTTTTTATCTTTTCCTTTTTCGTTAAATTCTTCCTGGCCCTTTTTTTATTACCCCAGACTTTACTCTACCCAACTTTTTCTTCTTCCTAATACTACTCATCCAGTTATTTTCTCTTTCTCTTTTCATTTTTCACTTCATATTTTTTCTCATTTTAATATCTTCCCAACATTTTTGCACCTTGTTTTTATTGATCTTATTCTTTCTCTTTTGCTGATTCTTTTCTTTTCATCCACCATCTATTATTTATATTCACATTGCTTTTCTTTCTATCTTCATTTTAAAAATTTTACCTTTTCCTTTCTTGTTTCTAATTGATTTTATGCTTTCTCTTTATTCTCTCTTTTTATATCTTTTTTTTCCTGGAAATCTTTTTCAAGCTATTTTCTCCACCTGTGTCTTCTAGGTTTCTGTTCATGCTCTTGTATTCTCTTCATATTCTATCTTTTAGTCCATTTCTCTTTTCTTGTAACCAACATTTACGCATTTTCACACATTTTCTTTCATTCTTTCTTTCTTTCTTTCTTTCTTTGCTCATCTGATACTTTCTCTCTTGCTTTTATCCTCTTTTTGCTTTCTTTCGTTTTTTCTTTCTTTCTATGTCTCCTAGTATATTTTTGTTTCTAGCTTCTTTCCTGTTTCTTTCTTTCTTTTTCTTTCTTTCTTTCTTTCTTTTCTTTCTTTCTTTCTTTCTTTCTTTCTTTCTTTTTCTTTCTTTCTTTCTTTCTTTGCTCGTCTGACACTTTCTGCCTTGCTTTTATCCTGTTCTTGCTTTCTTTCGTCTCTTCTTTCTTTCTATGCTTGCCTCATAATATATTTTTGTTTCTAGCTTCTTTCCTCTTCTTTCTTTCTTTCTTTCTTTCTTTCTTTCTTTCTTTCTTTCTGTTCGTTTTTCGTTTTCTTTCTTCATTACTTTATTTGCTTGTCTGTTAGTTTCTTTTGTCGTTGCATTTTTCCTATTTTTCTTTTCTTTCTTTATTTCGGGCTTTCTTGTCCCTTTCTTCCTTCGTTTTCTTTTACGCTTATCTTTTCTCTAACTTTTGTTTCTTCTTCACATTCTAATTTATCTTTTCAACTACTCACCTACTTTTTTATTTTAACTCTACATAACCAACCTTCTCTTTATCGTAACTTTTCAGTCTTTCCAACGAATCCACTCTTCACTGATAAATTAACATCCATTCTTTCAACTACTTACTCCTTTATCACTCCTTATCTCTCTTAAGTTTTCTTTGATAGATTCGAAATCTCTCCAGAAACTATATTATTTGATTCTTCCAATCGATTAACAACCATTCTTAAGTAATATCCCTATATAAATATTCATCGGCAGCTGACGGACACCATTCCACCCTCTACTAGTTCGAAATCTTCCCGATCGTGCCTTTTAACAAATACTTGGTTTTCATATTTTTCTGCGAAAAAGTTTTATGACAGATCACTTGAAAACCATGAATATAGAACTGCAAACAGCATCTTTTTTAGTTCCATTTTGTTTCATTTGTTTGCTATCACTTCTCAAACTACGCTACGAAAGATATTTTACTTCGAAAGTCTTACCAATAGATGTTATAACATTGAGGACTGTAAACAATATTCGAATTAATGATATGTCACTTAGGAGTTGAATATATTATATTTATTGAAATTAAGTCTATTTGAATGATGTTGCATAAAGTAAACATAACTAGACATAATGAACTATTTAAAAAAACAACATTATTCGAAAGTGAACAAGAATAAATGAAGAATAAACAGATAAAATCAACAATAAGATTAATCTAGCTCGGAAATAATAATAGCGAAATTGAACTAGCTAAAACTAAGACTAGTTTTAAAATAATAATAGTGAAAATGAATTAAAAACACTTCATCTAAAAAGGAATAATAAAGTGGAGTTAGAATATAATAATAATTGTGAACATATTTAACCGAGAAAGCAGAAATAAAATGGCGTATGACTAGTACAGACATAATAAATGTTTAAATATTTGATCTCAAACGTAATAACAAGTTGGAGTAAGGCTAGTACTAAAATAATAATAGTGAAAATATTTAATGCAATAATAAGAGGGAAAATGCTTTATCTAAAGTTAACAATAATAATATAGATTAAGACTAGTACTAAAATAACAATAACAATAAGGTTATGATGATAATTTGTATTCTGTTTAATTATAGACGCTTCCATCTCCGAAGAGGCTAAGTGAGCTCCTTCATTTCTGTGGCATTTTCAAGTCTCATCAATACTCCACCATTATTTTCCTTTATGGTATTCTTTTTTTCTAGCGATCGTACAGTATACTGACTGAAACTGTAGCAATAAAAAAGCAACAATAATATACGTAATATGATGATAACACCAAGTAGAAGCTTATGAAACTTCATTAGACTAAGTCAGATTTAGCGCTGAAAAACATAGATGGAATGTGCTTACTTTATTACCATAATATAATTCAATAGATTTCGGATTACTAGAATATAAATTGAAGAATACAGTGCTGTTCGATAAAAGTGACTCACCTGATTTTTTTTTACTTAAAATTTTTTTCGCCTATTGTTTTTGGGTTCAAACTAACTTTTAATCTTACTAATATAAAGATCCCTTCCCGACCACCTAGTAAAAATGTTTACTCACCCTAAGGTATTCTATTGATAATTATAATTTGGGATATAAATGAAATTTAGGGAAAAACTCTGTGCAAAAAAAAAAAAAAAAAGTGACTCACATATTTCCTGCAACTAGTAATCAATAGAAACATAACTGAACAGCTTTAAATAAAGAATAATAGAGGTATAATTTATTATTTCATCGGAGAAGAGAACATTTATTTTAAAAAAATCAGGTGAGTCACTTTTATCGAACAGCACTGTATATTGTTTGTTTATATGGTAATGTATATAATAACTGTTTTCGAAATGTGCGTATAATTGAAGAGCTATTTTAAGTTAACGGGGAATAACTCGCTTGTCGCACGTCTTCCTATATATGAATATTGGCGAAATTAAAATTTTACATCCATGAGTGAATTAATGTTTTCAGCATTATTCTCTTATTTATACATAATAGCGAACAAAGAGATGCTGAATTTTTACTAAGAAGTTATAATGATTTGATAATATAATCTCACGAGTTGTTATTCAGAACTGTAATGTAAGTCGTTGTATTCACAAGTAAAAATACAGACCTAAACGAATAGTGATACTGGACATAAGATATGCAAAAGTTAACTAATTTCCATATAGCCAGCCTACATGCCCGACCATAACATAATCGAATCTATGTGAAGAGAATTGAAAACTGGAGTGAATAACAGAAAGCCGGAGAAGTAGGAAAAAAATTGAGTTTACCGTTAAGGAGAATGGCGGAAGATGAAACAATTTTTAAACTATATTTCTTCATCGAGTTGAAACTTTAGTCCGTGCATACGGAAGTCATTCTAATACTAGGACTTTCGTAAATATATCAATAAATTTATTGTGTACATTTTTAGTATTTCTTCAATCACGCAATAATCTATCTATCTATCTATCTATCTATCTATCTATATATATATATATATATATATATATATATATATATATATATATATATATATATGTCTATATTTCTGTGATGAGGATTTATGTACATTATTTACATTATTCGGACTATTGTCCTCATCTTTTGCCGAAACGTTGTAATAAATATTGCGACAAAGATGAGGACAATAGTTCGAATAATGTAAATAATATATATATATATATATATATATATATATATATATATATATATATATATATATAAGTTTTATTACGTTGATGTGACTGCACATGCGCACGAACGAGAGACGCTGGGAATTTTAAATTCAGAAAAAAAAAAAATGTATTTTGGGCCTATAATCTAGTCCGATGAATTCCTATGAGACGAAACACGTGACAAGTTTTTTTCGCTTTGTCATACATCTTTCTTTCAAAACAGCTAATGTAAAAATTTATATATCGTTATCCCAACTATATATATATATATATATATATATATATATATATATATATATATATATATATATATAGATAGATAGATAGATAGATAGATAGATGTATGTTGAGATGGTTAAATTGTCGCCATATTATATTTTTAATTTTGCGCATGCCCGTGGATTGTTTTTGATTTTGTCGACTGGACTGATCAGTATAGTTGGGCACCGTATGTGAGAAATTGCGTTCAACGACGCAAATCACTCTGCCAACAGCTTGGAAACGGCATGCATAACGGATTCGATTTCGCGCAGGAAGCTCCAATACGAACATATCAGAGTGTTTGGGATTATATCCCAGGATAGTGTTGAGGATTCGGTAAGAGTTGAATAAGTCTAATGATGATTACAAAGGCACGGCAGTTCGGAAAACTCACTCTGTTCTGATAAAAAAAGAACTTCCGAATTTGTTGGTGAGGGCCTTAGACCTCAGCAGGGAGACCTAAGTGCTTTGAGGAGGTACTGCTGCCTTGAGTCAAGAGGGTGGCTGCAAGAAGACCTTTTATCTGACTCTGTATCATGCCATACAAGCAGGAGATCACAGTCCTTACTTACAGACAATCTCTGCGACCACATCACTCCTTACATCTGGCCACATAACTCCCCAGACTACAACTCCCTTTATTATTATGTATGGGGCGAAGCTGAACTAGAGATCAACAAAACTCCTTGTAACACCAAAGATGAACTGAAGGCAAGGCTTATGACAGTATTCACAAACTTATACAAGGAGGCCGCCCAGAAGGGTTGCTGGATATTCCGAGGTCTTCAGGAGGCTGTGGTTAAAGCTACTGGTGATTCTATTGAATAAATTTAATCTTTACTATTTCACAATATTTTTGTGTAATATTGGTAAATATATCTGTTAAAATGAAATTAATTTTTGCGTAATTTAGACGACAATTTATCCATCGCAAACTGTATATAGTAAAAAATGAACAAAGTATATGCGTTGGTGTGTGTGTGTGTGTTTTCATTTTTTTCTTGTAGGGTAGGGTTGTTGCATCGTCACGGAATCCACTCTGGCTGAAACTGGTGTTCAGTGACCTCAGGTCATTGATTCGTCATTGATTCTTATGCATTCAGGTGATGATTGTTTCGTTGTGCTTAAAATATCTTGAGTCAAAATAAAATATATTTTGCATCTTGAAAGTTCTGTGCATTTTGTACGTATCAGATATTAAAAAGGCCATTTCAGTCAATTTGAATTCTATTTATTAAGACATAAGTGAGTGTAAAAGAATAAGAAAAAGAAAAAAAAACATTATTAAGGTTCGAGAACAATAAAAGAAGTGGAATCAAAAAGACAGTAGATACCGATTAACATTGCATTAAATTTTTGAAGATCAAATTTGGCTGGGATGTAAGAAACCGGTAGAGAGTTCCAAAAGCGAGAAATATGAGAGAATAAATTGTTAACATAGAACTAAATTAAGGAGACTTTGTTGTCAATCTAATTCTACACTTGAATTCATAAAGTCTAGGTACAATAGAGGAATGTTCATTAGAAAAATTAACGAATATATTTATAGAAAATGTACAGGAAAGCTACATTACAGCGGTTGAAATGTCACGGAAATCGAGATGTCAGTAACATTACAGATTCTTCTTTGGATTTTATTAAGAATCTCTAAATATATAACAGGTACACCAGACCATATATGGTAACATTATTCAAGGCATGGGCGTGTGGTAGATTTAGAAATATGTAAGGTAGATTCTGGAAAGAAAAATTGTCACGCACGACACAGTGATATAACTTTCCTAGCAGTAGACCTTGCAACTGATTCAATGTAATCTTTCCGCATCATGTCAGAAGAGAATGTTAGCTCGAAAAGTAGCAAGTAATCACACTCCTAGAGGTTAGCAACAGTCACGCTCATGGAAAGCAGAATGGGGTCTCCAAGATGATCGATAGAGTGCAGTTTCATTTTGGAAACGTTAAAATTAACAAGCCATTCCCAGGTAACAGCAGATTGTAAGTCATTTCTTAGATCAGCTTCCAATTTTACATGATCAAACTGGTCAGACTTACTAATGAAATAGGAGTAAATAGTTGTGTCATCAGCATAGATGCCGATTTGAGAACTGATGACATCAGGATGGTCATTGATTAAAATTAGGAACAATATAGGTCCAAGGATAATTCAAAAAGAGCTAGAAGTGTGTCTGTTCAGGAAAAATTTTATTTTGCGATTTAATAAGAAAG